TCGTTATTTTTCGGCTAGGCGACGCCGGCACTGGGGTTTATCAGTTTGTGTTTGTGAGGTAGTTCGTTGAGGCAAAATTTTAATTTGGAATCAATGCGATCATCATTTTAGAAATTCCTGGTTGCAACTAGAAGCTTGGCCCCGGTGAGTGATCTAAGTGGTTTTACGATGCTACAATAAATCAAATCTAAGATATCTACATGTTCTGGGTAGCTGGAGGCCACTGGACCATTGACCATTAGCTTTCAGACGCAATTTCGGTAGTGTATACTTACCAACAACATTTACAAAACATCTGCGTGTACCTTACACAATTTAAAGGGATACGCGACATTCATTTTATCACCTGGTTCGCAAACTTGAGTGCTTGTTATTTTGGGACCGAACTTATTGAAAGCAATTTATGCAAAGCAAAATTTGGAGTTCACTGCACTTATAGGCCAGTGTTATTTTTTACGTTTTTTTGGCTCAGAATTTTGGCTCACCAATAAATGTGACCAACGCCCTTTTCCGAAAGGCGAATGATTGCACACATTTTCCGGCCGTAAGACTGCGAGATTGACGTCTCGTTATTGTGTTCTTTTCAGTATGAATTTCCGGGTCCGATCAGTCTTCCGTTCAAATAAGGAAATGGGTGGGTCCATCCGTTTAACCATCTGCCTCCGGGACAGTGGCTCCCGATTTCGGATCATGACGGTCACAAAGCGACAAATGACTTTGTCGTCTGATGAATATTTCATTATATCTCATTTTCGTTTGCTCTGGAAAGCCGATATCTTTTGACTTGAATTCTACGGATTCCGAATTTAACTCGTTGGGTATCTTTCTGCTTTAGTGAATGGCAACTACCACTACCTGCGTTTGGCGAAAATGAGTTGTGAAGAAATAAACGCCTGGGTCGAGCACTTCCGTACACGTTCCGGTGAAAACATCATGCCAATCTACAAGCCACGCAGTACAAACAACCCCTCAATTCAAGGAATGTGGACTCCTTTCTCACCTTCCCATAATTCTGGACGGTCTGTGATGAATCCGTCGGAGATTTTGGCTAATCTTGAAAAACTATCACTCTGTGAATTTGAACGGGACCAGTCAGCTGAGGAATATTTGCGTGACCTGGACCAACGGCAACGCCGCAGAGTCGCGAGCGAGTGACAAATGTGAACACACACCTGTATATATCCTTGTACCATTTTGTATTGAAGAGGCACTTCTGCAAACCTTAGGAATACGACATCGATGTTGTATGAATTTCGGACTGTAGGCTTGTCTTTTTTGCTAATTTATGTACGAGGCGTAATTTTAAACAGAAGCTTCAATTAAAATGTTGATAGGTCAACATCAATAAAAGCCAGGCACCCTTTCTTTCTTAGCTTATTTTCCTCGTGCTCTTGGATAATTACCATCCGAGATCCGAAACGTTCTCAACTCTCTAGGGGGTGTTATAGTATACATATGTCCTGAACTCAGCGGGTGGTCTTCTGCTAGGAAAATAAACAGGACTTCTTTCTTCCACCCCTATTGACAGTTTGGTTATCATCTTCCTCGGGTCGTCCACCTCGATGAACAACTAGCTGCTCCTCCTGTTCTTTCAACCGACCAACGTAAAGGTCCGTATAGTTATACGGTCCTGCTAATCTAGTTGAGGGCATCAGGCGTCTATAAGAGAACTGATTAGGCAACCGAGTCCGTTAGTACGGTGAATAGATCGGGTGAAATTGGGGTTCAAACCCCCTGAAAAATCATCGAGTTTTTTTTACTAACAGCCGCATATAACCGAGTAATTTGAACTTTAGCCTGACAGTTGATCTGGCAAAGTTTCCAGCGTGGAGGAGCAGCTCTTTTTGTTTGCTTTATGCGCTTCCTCAACTACCTTAATCAACTTACCTTTATCAGCCTCTGATAGTTATGTATGAGCAAACGTGTCTTTCTCCAGCGTGGAGGAGCAGCTCTTTTTGTTTGCTTTATGCGCTTCCTCAACTACCTTAATCACCCTTTATCAGCCTCTGATAGTTATGTATGAGCAAACGTGTCTTTGTCGTCTGTTAAAGTAGACACAATAGTGCCAAATCGATTTAGCCTAATGGAAAGCTCTGAATACCTACATGGTATTTATGCATCCCTCCAAGTTGATTAACTGTTCTTCTTGGTTTCATCACTTGACGTGTTTTGCTATTAACTGTTATAACGGAGGCCCAGGCCGAGATATTACCGCGCAATGCGTCGCCAAAT